CGTCAGAAACCTTAAAAATTGAGTGTTCTTTATTCAACTCCAAACAAGCTCCGACACCCCAACCATTGCTTGGGCTTTCTTCCTGGGGTTGAGGAGAGTCCATTCGTGGTGGTGGTGGTGGTTGACGGAGTTAGCTTCACGATCGTCCGATTTCCGTCATGGCACCCCCGGAACCCACGGGTTCCGTTCTTCAAGAAATCAAGGCTAAATCTAGTGAAATTTGATTGGTATTGGAAGATGGGAGATCATGGAATGTTTTCCAAGTGGTGGACACCATCGATTTAACGGAAAAATTGACGAAAATCACGTTGGAATAGCGCATAACTGGTTGGGTCGACAGGGAGGACCCCGGTCAAGTGTGATTCGGTTCTCCTCCACTATCTCATTTCCCTTCCTTTCCTGCTCTCCCTTGTGGTCACTCTCTCTTCTCTTCTTTTTGATTGGGTGTCCCGCCCCTCCTTTCTCTCCTTTATCTCTTCTCCCAACCGTCTATTTCTTCTTTCATTCAATCTGGGCCACACACGTGGCTTTCCAGATTTTGCTCCAAAAATTTGGAGCATTCTAGAAAATATTTAAATGACTATTTTGTCCCTATTTTTACTCGCCCATAACTTCTTCGTTATAACTCCAAATCATGTTCCGTTTACACCCACGCGTTCGTAGCAATGAGTACTATGAGGATATGCCAAGAAAATGAACCTTACATGACATGACAAGGTGGTCAACATAAGTCAACGTATTTGCCTCGAAGGGCATTTTCGTAAATTCACTTTAAAAAAAATTATAAAAACCATAATTTTTTAGGACAGGTCGTTACACCAACTTACTTATAAGCCTATACAAAGTCCCTCCTCCCATTAATATGGGACTAATTCTCAACACGCCCCCTCACATATGACGAATTTTCAAGCCTAACACGTATCAGAGCAGGTTGTCCCATGTGTGAAGCCAAACGGCCACACATACGCTCTACATCACCCCATTGTATTGTCCACGTGTTAGGCTTGAAATTGAGGTTCCACCATAAAATCAATTGACAATATGGGGAGTAGCCCAAGAACATATAAGTACATAGCAAATATTGTCCATCACCAATGATCCCGCACGTGTGGCCGATTTTCAAGTCTATATGTGGACAATAAGTGGGCGACGCGTGAGCACGTGTGGCCCTTGGGCTTTCACACGACAAGCTGCTCTGATACTATAAAGAAAGTTGAGGTTCCATCATAAAACCAATTGGCAATATGAGGAGTAACTCAACTTTTTATAAGCCCATGCAAAGTCCCTCATCCCATCAATATGAGACTCATTCTCAACACACCCCCTCACGTGTAGCGAATATTCTCAACTTATGTACGCATGAGAGAAGACTAATTCATTTGTTATATAAAACGAATAAACCACTAAACCCACCGCCTCAATTCTCTCCAAACGGTCTAATCGGTGTCCCAGAACCCATGCCACCGTTTTACACCAAGATCGACATCGTTTTCTGCTACAAAGTCTGCCACCAACATGCACTCTTGAGCAAGTCTTCTCCCTGTTAGACCCTCTCTACATCCTATCACTCCCTGTATAACCTTTTGTCAGGTGATTAGGTTCTTATGTTTTGAGTTTGATACAATAGAAACTATAATATCAAGCTTCTATGCAATTTTGCCGCAATGGCCTTGTTTCTTTTTGAACGTGGTGCTTTGATTGGCGGTCCTGCAGACGTCTTTGTTGTACTATTCGAATTTATCAAACAAATTTGCTTCTAAACAAGCTCATGATGAATAGGATTCGTGGAGACCATTGAAAATGATATAAGCAGCACAAGGGGCAATTGTGACTCCAAACAAGGTTGGTGTCAAGTGTCAATTCTTTTGTTTGTTTGTTTTTTTTGTTTTTTGTTTTTGTTCTTGTTTTTTTTTTTTTTTGTGTGATTTTTAGATAATTATTATTAGTGAAATTATTGAATGTATTTGTGTGTGTTTATGTTTGATTTGTCAGGACCCAAGTGAACGTAAGCCTAAAGGGCACACAATTATCATCTGTGTTTCAGGTAAAAAGTTTACGACATTTTTCCTCCAAACTAATAGACCTGGTTAATTAGGAAGCATCTTAACTATCATCTATGTTAGATGAGCTGTTTGATAACTATTTTGTTTTCAGTCTGTTTGATAACTATTTTGTTTTCAGTCTGCTTGATAACTATTTCGTTTTCAATTTTTGTTTTTTTAAGTGAAGTGAAATGACTATCCAATAGCCGCTACTTGTTACACAATTTCATGGTCTTAATTAAAACATTGTTTTACAGGTGGTTCAGGTAGCAGAAAGAGTACGCAATGCGCTAAGATTGTTTCACACTTTGGGTTTTGCCATCTGAATGCTGGTGATCTTCTTGAAGCAGAAGCTGAGGCTGGAACTGAATACAGGTATTTGATTCATTCAAAAAAGTCTTTCTTTCACAAGTAAAATGTCATCATTCTTGTATGATGGAAATCTACCAACCATTTTTTTCAAAACCTATTAAGCCACATTTTCTCACATCTTATATTTGTTGCAAATTTCTCTCTACAGTAAGATGATCAAGGACTTTAAGAAGGAAGGACGACTGGTTCCTTCCGATTTGGTTGTCAAACTTCTGCAACAGGCAATGCAAAGGAGCCGAAACAAGAAGTTTCTCGTTGATGGCTTCCCGTAGAATGTAGAAAATATAGTTGCAGCTGAAAGAATTGTAGGGTTGTAGTTTTCGTTAAAAGTATCAATGATCTTCAAAAGTAGTAGTGTTTGTTAGATTTTAATATATTCATGAAGAACCAAAGTTTATGTTAATGCAGATGAAATTCGAGCCGAATTTTGTACTATTTCTTGACTGCTCAGAAGGAGAAATGACAAGACGTCTTTTAAACAGAAACCATGCGAGCAAATTGTGTTGTTCTTAATATGCTTCTTTAGTTTACAGATTGTCGATGTCTGTAAACCTGTCGAACTCTTCCTTATCCGTACTCTTTGCGGTCTTCGAAGGGAAGAGTTGACGATAACATTGATACGATTCAGAAGCGTCTTCAAGTTTATTTCGAATGCACCATTCCTGTAGTCAATTATTACAGCGCCAAGGGAAAGGTTCGAAAGGTAACCATCTCCTCAAGGGCTTTTGCTCGTCGACATATAGCTAGTCTTACCGTATAGTTTAATGAACTGTTTGTGATGGAGCTTATCTGTAATTAGTATGTTAATTGTTTTCTTCTTCTTTGATTCTGCCTAGATTGATGCTGAAAGGCCTCCTGAAGATGTATTTGAGGTAGTCAAGGAAGCATTCTATGAGCTCGAAGAGAAGCGCGAGGAAACCATGCCATAGTTTTTAAGGAGAATGGACTCCTTTGTTCTTAGGTATGAAATTAAACTATTTGAATTGGATGCTCTCAAATCTCGAGAATTAGTGTATATAGGATGTAGTTTTGGAGAAATTTATCCAAATGACGGGCACATTAGCTTACTTGGAATTCCTAATTAATACAACTTTAACACATGCCTATTTTATTATTCAAATAAAAAGATTGTCACGTTTTGATATTTATGATAGGCATTAATAAACAAAATTCCTAATATACCCCTACAGTTCAAAGAGAAAGAAGTCAGAAAACTTTCCTGACTACCCTTCCATGCTAACCATCCACTCTTCAAAAACCACCCACCTCCATCACCGCTTTGTGATTCCATCGGCGACACTCCATATATCCTCTCTTCCTCTTTTTCTTTCCCCCATTTTCTCTAATTCTCCCCCACCTCCATCGACCAAATTTGCCGTCTCCGACCTCCAATTTAAGATTTGTCTTTCAGCATCCCTTGTGTCCATCTCAGAAAAAGCATAAGAAGGAGGACAAAATATTGAGATGAAAAAGAAAGGGAGAGAAAAATGTGTGAGGAAGGAAGGGATGAGTGGGGTGGACGATGCACGTCTCTGGCAATGAGTTGGCCAATAGGGGAGGCATGGGAGGAGAAGGATGTGGGAGGCGATTTGGAGACTCGGAATACGGGGAGTCGGTTTAATTTTTTTATTTTTATAATAATTGTATTTATGTTATAAGAATACAGGTGTCAACATGTTATTAATGGGGACCACCTGTTTTGTTGAGGTGTATATTTCAATCACATAGAAAAATTTATTGTAGTTTTGAATTCTAAATCCGTCCCTGTTTGCAAAGCAGTATAAAGTGTATTTATCTGCTTAGAAGTAATTAATGCGTAAGTTTGTAAGTTAAGATGTTCATTGTTTTTTTTCCCTTGAAGTTGAAAAAGGTTCTATGCTCAAATGTTTGTGTTGATTAAAAAGAAATATTTAGTCCTCAACGGTAGATACGATAAATTAAGAACTTTTATTAAATAAAGTTGTAAACTAAATAGAAATGTGTTTTATACAAGGTATATGTATTTTTTACTTAAAATACTTTCTCTTCTTAAGTAATACACCGTCATCTCATCCGTATTTCAACATCTCAATTCTTAGTACAAAAAAAAATTCCAAACTAAATTCATTTCCACAACAAAACGTTTTACTTGAAAATAATGAAAGACGTGAAGAGAGAAAATGATACAAAACCCCTAACATACAGAACGTAATAACACTATAAATTAGTAATATGTTTTAGGTTCAACTTCTATAAATAACAAGTTTTAGTAATATGTCTCCGAAAAATTAATCTATACAAGCGTTATATTTGTTTGATTTACAAATACCTATTGGAAATAGAGCGTTGTGGACTAAACTATTTTGAGAAAAAATATCCATCGTTTTTCATTCCAATTCGCATAAGAATGAATACTATGATTCGGACGTCGAACCAGCATGAATACAACATTTATAGGATGACTTCCGTCTGACATCAATTTTTCTTTATTAAATTTTGTGCTTACTTTTATTTTTGGATAAGACCCTTAAAATAAAAAATAAAAAAAAATAACGAGGGAAGAAAACCCCGCAGGGTGCACTATATAAACCGTAGGCGCCACCAACCGAAAATTTTCCTCTAATTTTTTGCATTATTATTTTTCGTAAACAATGTCTGAGCCTTCCGCCACCTCTCACCTACCCCGCGAGCCGCAACCACCAAACGAACCCGACGACCCGCAATCCCACCCAACCCCCCTCCTCGATCCCCTCACCCACTGGTGCGCCAACCAAAACTGCAACCCCTTCGCGCCCGATCCTCTCGATCCCCGGAGCTCCTCCGATTGCGACTGGTTCTCCGACGTCGCCTCCGATTCGGACCATGACGTCAGCTGCTTCGTCACCGATCTCTTCGACCGCCGCAGCTCTGAGCAGCAGCCCAAGACCGACGGCGTCGTCGATTCGGGTTCGCGGTCGGATCCGGTTGCGACCGAATTGGAAATTGGGGGTCTTGAGGATGGCGACGAGACGGAGTCGAATTTAGCGTTTGGGTCAAATTCTCAGCGATTGGGTTCTGAATTGGGGGAGTTTATAAGCCTGTCGGGAGCTGACTCGCGAGCTGGTGGGCTTCGGATTGTTGGGCTGGAATCTGAATCAGATTCGGATTCCGGTTCTATCGATGACATAGAAAGTAATCGGATCACCGATTCGGGTATCCAGTCAATTTGGGATAATCTCTTCTTGATGGAGCAGAGGAGTATGCTTGAAAGTTCCGAATCGATCCAGACTAGTCCGGTCAACGGCGGAGTGGAAGAGCTGTCGGTGACCTCTGGGTTTTCCACTGAAGAAGAAGAGGTTCCGGAAGGAGCGGCACGGAGCCTGGAGTGGGAAATTCTCTTGACAGTCAACAATTTTCGGAGGTTCGCCGATGATGACGATCTTGACTTGGAGACTGCAGAGTACATCAACACGATTTTCGGGCAGTTCGTGGAGAATGCCAATGCAATGAAAGGTAGTCCTCCGGCGGCTTTAAGTGTGGTTGAGGATCTTCCATCTGTTGAGTTTACAGTGGAACAATTGAAGAAAGAAGAAGCGGTTTGTGCTGTTTGTAAAGACAACATCTTGGTGGAGGATAAAGTCAGGAGCTTGCCCTGTTGCCATTACTACCATCAGGACTGCATTGTGCCGTGGTTGGGCATTCGGAATACATGCCCTGTTTGTCGGTATGAGCTTCCCACGGATGATCCAGATTACGAAAGAAACAAGTGTGAAAGCGCTGCTCGAGGCGAGCCAGGGGATTCACAGGTCAGGTTTGAGTTTGGGTTTGAACAGTTTGTCTAAGATGCTATACAGATATATATAATCTTGCTTTGCTAAATGTAAAAATTGTAAATATGCGTTTTTCGGGCAGTCTTATATCTGATGATGAAATGAAGCTTGTAATGGTTTTGAACATCGTATAGCTTTTGTTAATTTGGTGGAGTTTCCCAGTGTAATAAATTGCTTTGCGTTTCATGTTACTTGAGTTTTTAGTAGTGTTTATGCACCAACCTTGCAAGAGGGTTAATGAAAATTAGTTTGAACTTTGAAGAAGTATCTTATTAGAGTTTGAAATTTGTCAAATTGCGAAAAACGAATACATGAGATCTACGTTAAAGTACTACTACCGGATTTCAGATCAAACTACATACATTTCGCCCCCAAGTCCTAACTAAAGAAGTAGTGAACAAAAGGCTAGACTTAGGCGGACTTGATTGCTTCGAGTTGCTGTTGCAATTGTTGAATGGTATCTGTTGCATTCTTCAGCTTCTCTCTCAAACTCTTCTCCTCCTTGTCTCGACGCTCCCTCTCCTCAGAGAATATGCCAATTATGGTGTCTTCTTCATTGTTCAGTTCTGTAATTTTTTGTTGTGCCGCTAGGAGCTGAGTTTCAAGTGACTTGCACCTCTGATCTTTCTTCTCCAATATTTTCCTCAGTTGGATATATGCTGTTTTCAGTTGCTGCACCCCTACAACTTGACCACGATCCATGCGGGAACGCTCAGCATTGACATCATGACCGTGCGGTGAACTGGCTCCTGGGCTACTTGGTGAACAGTCGTGCTGTGATTGTTCAGTATCTTTTGTACGTGAAGATAACCGAGTCGGGCAATCTTTCCCAGAGTCTTCTTTAGCAGCAAATCCCTCACGAGGTTGGCCACCCACATCAGACATGGAAACATGCATGTCTGCATCTGCATTGGTAACATTGGCTGGCGAAGGTGGTAATGATGATGGAACATTGGCGGGCGAAGGTGGTGCTGATGGTTCATAAGACCTTGATGATCCTAGTGTCCCAGATTGCTTGGGGGTTTGGACTCTGTTGCTGGTGATCCTTTCAGAAGCTCTTGAACGAACACCCTGAAGTGCGGGTAAATCAGGACCCGAAAATGGTCTCTTCTTGCTGCATGGCGTGGTAGATGGAGGATCAGGACTAGTCTCCTTACGATTTGCAGAGTCGTTGATGATCTTCTTAGTACGTCGCCGAGCATACCCGATTTTGTGGCAGTTAGAACCCCAGTAATCCTTTTGCATATGTATCAATCGTTTCTCGAGTCTCGAAAGAACCGTTGTACGCTCAAACCCCTGCTTATCATGAGCTGGTTCAACAAAATTAGCTTCCAAAACACCGATAACACCCCTGCCGTCGCTTCCTGCAGCATTCCAAAGCCTCCAAAACGGCTTAATCAGTCGATTCTTGTGATAAACATTGAACCCTTGAACGTCGATATGAGATTTTGCATCCTTTACAAACCCGATGGTGACAGCAGCAATCACATTTGCACTTGTTTGGTTCCCGTCAGCCCCGGTTGGCCGATAGGTGACTTGCTGGGACATCATCATATCATTCACTATGTTGTGGTGCTCAACTTCCTTCCCGCGAAGGATGATCCGAAAGTTAGAAGGAAGCCGCAAATAGAGAATCGATGCATAGCTCCTCAACGAGTGCTGGTACGTCAAGAAAACTCGCGAGTTGGGATAATCTTGAGCCATTTGTATGTTCGTCTCGTCCCGATTGACACCTCTGAGTTGAATATCATGAGGGTCGGTGTCAAAATCAAGCTCCAACTGATCTTCGTCGTCCTCCCAAAGGTTGTATATGATTATTTGGGTGCCATGGTCCTTAATCGTTAAGAGCTGACAATGCAGCTCTTCTTCGCTAGAAAATGGCGACCACTGAACGATTGTCTCGATATTTTTCTTCCAGTCTCTTTCGGAGGATCGAAACATTTTGTGCCAAGCTCCTCCTCTTCTCTCATAATCAAGCATGGGAACTACAATGTCTTCCTTTCCAGTGCTCTTCAAGAAAGTGTAAGACAGCAATCCGATGCTCCGCGTATCATTTTTTCCATGTATTCCTTCGCAGCGTGAAAACACGATCGCATCTGCTCCTAGCCTCATAGTACTCGTCTTAAAACCGTTTCCATACTGTCCTATGGTGTCTCTAATTTTGCTTTTCACCGAATACCCCAACGACATGCAGTGTCGCATCTTGCTCGGATCCATACCACCGCCATCATCTTGGATCAGCAACATTCTGCTTCCATCCTTCTTGTTTTCAAGCACATCGACGTTGACGTAAGTAGCACCACTGCAAACCTCATCCAGTGCATTGTCTAAAAGCTCGGCAAAAGCGCCGAGAGCCCACTTGTGACTTGTGGCATTGGAATGCAGAAATCTGGGATGAACCCTAACGTGGTCGATCCCGCCAGCAGCAGAAGTATGATCATCGCTACAAGGAGCTCCTTCATAATCCCCGGCCTTCCAAAACTGCTTACAGCTCTGCCGGGCTCTCACCTGCCTCAGCGGCTGAGGACTCAGAACCGGGCCTGATCCCGCCCCGCCCAGCTTCCGCTTCTTCGAAGAACCTCCCAAAACTTCGCCCTCTTGTGACATGCTGGATGATACAGACTAATTAACTGGTAGGGATTTAGAAAATTGTAGAGGAAAGTAAACCTAAAAAAGGTCTTCGCATAAAAATCTATTAGCGCGTGGAAGTATGCTAGAAAATTTGTTCACTCACCAATGTGATGATCCACCAAGTCCAAGATCTGTGTATTTATACACAAGGACATATCCCGAAACAAACAGGAAATGCCTAATCCTAATAGAAATTTGAAGAAATCCTAATCCTAGCTGAAATAGGATGTTAAGCAAATTACAAATTAATCCTAAAACGAAAAGGAAATTAAGCAATTTAATCCTACTAAAATTTGAAAGCACGCTAATCCTACTGGAAATAGGAATGCAAAGATCAATCATGTGGTAATTTATAGGAGAAATATTTGTGTTACCAAAGATACCACTCCTAATTAATCTGGATTTATTTAATGGAAATAATTAATTTTTGGGTGGCAATTAGAAACTAAAAAACTATAAAAAATCAATGAAGGGCACGTAAGTAACGTCACAAGCGAGGAAGTATATATGTACTTCGATTTCGGTTTCGTAGGTCAAGTCTGCAACAAAAAAGGGCTACAATGGAATCCATCAACATACAAAGATTTAACAAAAAAAAAAAAATCCTCATAAAAACACAAGATTATCAAAATTGATGAATAACACTATCAATTTTGATGATCTTCATGACGTTGTATTGGTCGGAACCCTAAATTTATTTTGCAGTGCAAGTGCGTTTCCAATCGTTGGTGTACTCTCATCTCTGATTCTTATTTCATTAGGCGCCTTTTATCCCTCCAAATTGATAATCCGTACCCTGGTAAACCACAAATCAGAGGAATTCCTTACAAGAATATCATCGTCCTCCAAGCCGCTGACTCCGTTATTCGAAAGGCTCATGAGTTTCCACTCCGAGAGAGAAGCCAATTGTGTATTGGATGAGTGGAGGCCCTGGTGGCATTAGTGATCATCTTCAGCACATTCTCATCGTCTTGGATCCATTGATCATCATCGACGAAAGTAAACATTATGAATGTAATGTAATTCGCTTTGGTGAGCAATCTTTTTGAAGATCTAAGCCGGTACTTGAATGCTTTGGCGAGCAATCTTTCATATGAAGACCTTGTCCATTTGACCATCAAGAGTCACTTCAATTACAAATAAGGAATCTAGGTTTGGGTAAAACCCTATATAAAACTCTCCTATGTATACGTGACTTGTATCTACTATCTTCTATCGTTTTCCAAATTTCTGCCACTATGAGAGGTGCTATTGGTACCAAAAGAAGCAGATCCCAGTCGCCCCTTGGAGCAATACTGGCCTCTCCCCATAATCATCACCCAAAAACATCGAAAAAGTTGTCTGTTGATAGACCCCTGGCGATGTAATAGTTGAATTTTTTTGCCGACTCCCTCATACATCCGCTTATCAGTGCACGTATATGTCCAAGTGTTGGCTCACTCTCATCTCTAATTCTTTAACCTTTGCATCAATGAATTTAGAGGAACGATTGGACCTCAAGATGAGGAGTATGTATTTTCGATGAGCGGAAGACTGGAAGGCATAGTCGATCGGAAGTGCAAGAGAGATGAGCAGACTTAGGGCTAGGGGTAAAGTATCTGTCACAAAACTACGTCTACGCAGGAAGTGCAAGAGAGATGAGGCACATGGCAGAATCTGATCATATAAGCTAGCCATTAATTCTTTCTTGAAGATATAATAAATTGATGTATCACGAAGGACATTGATTTTTCATACTGAAGTTTCTAGTTTTGTTTGTGAGTTCATCAATTAATGTGTATCGTACGTAGACAAGCTAAAATTTGTCACACTTAATTAGTAATATTGGTCACTTTTGTAGTAGTTATGCATCCACTTTGTCTGTAAGTTGATATATTATTTTAGCAACGAAAATTTCGTAGTCGTTAATTGAAATTTTATGATCATTATTTAACAAAGTTTGACAAGCTGCCGATGTTTCTTCTGCAAGTCGTTAATTATGGATAAAAGAATTATGTAGATTGATCCAACAAGTTCACCAGCATATTCAAAACTCAAAAGAATAAAAAAGATCACCAGCATCATCGTCATCAAGAACTAGTGATCTCCGAGACGATGTAGTGATTGAAATCCTTCCACAACTCCCTCAAGGCGGTGGGTCACTGTATCTATACAATATATATAACGAATTCGTATGTTGATGTATGTTGATCAATATAACCCTCTATTTGTTTGTCTTTTGTTTTTTGTGGTACAATATAACTGTAATTTTGGTTTAAAAAGATGATCTTATCCATTGACCAAGTTTTTAGTAAAGAGGAATGCTAGCTACCTTCTTCATTTACTAAGCGTTTTTGTTTTTTGTGGTACAATATAGCTGTAATTTTTGGTTTAAAAAGATGATCTTATCCATTGACCAAATTTTTAGTAAAGAAGAATGCTAGTTACCTTCTCCATTTACTAAGTGTTTAGTTTATTGTGTAAGTCGAGTACAAATGTCAAATGATGAATAGGGAATGTAAGAAGGAAAAGGTAAATGGAGAAGGTATAGCTATTCCTTGTCCGTTAGTTTCTATTTTTATTTACAGAAAGAGAGTTTGCTTCTAAGTGAAACCCTAGATGAAGCTCTTCCTATATACGCGTGACTGATCATATCTGTACATTATCTACTGTCTTCTGGCGTCTTCCAAATTTCTGGCACCATGAGAGGTGTTAGCGCCACCCAAAGAAGCAGATCTGAGTCGCCAGCAGATGACCATATTCATCACCCCGAAGATATCAAAAACGTCACTGTCGCTACCATCACTATCATCAACATCAACGAGTAGTATTGATCATCTCCCCGACTTCCAAAACGTCAATATAAAGAATGGTAAAAAGTTCACCCCACTTCCAAATGTAGCCTGTTTGAACTATGCATTAACTTTTCGACAAAAAAAAAAAAAAAAAAAAAAAAAAGAAGAACTATGCCTTAACCTAAATCATCATCGTCAAAACACATAACGAAAAGAGAAATGCAAGAAATAAATAAACCAGTCATTTTCACTAATGGGGGGATAAAACCCTTATGGCTCTTGTAGTTTCCATAGAGAAAGAAAGAGCACTGAGTCCCTCTAGAAAAAACTTTTACATTAATATATTGTCATATTATGCGGACTTTGGGAGTGGCCTTGGTTCAAAAATTCTACACAAATTAGTTAAAGGCCACATTCTGATTTAGATCAAGCCGATATTTTTTTTCTAACGAGTGGGGACTTTGGAATTATTACTTCAATCATTTTTCCTTTGAAATTGATATAACATGGAGATAATATTGCAGGTAGCAATATTTGTGCCTGCCTCTTGCTTTTGTTTTCTTCAGGGGTTTTTTACTTATTCGTTATGATTTGCCTTCTTGGTCATTTTTTGTTACCATTTTCTGTTGCTAGCCCTTTCAATTAGTCCACCAAACAATGTCTCTTGTTGCCATTGGCAGACCTAGCAGCAAGGGTGTCGTGTTTAACCATCTTAATTCTTAAAAACTATAAACGAAGACCAATTGAATAGTCCACAACCCTTTCCAAATGGCTTAATTATGAAAGCATATGCAAGCAGTTTTGGATTTTTCAAAGAATACAACCAAAACCAATCTTGCCCTCTCTTTTCTGCTAGATATGGCCATCATTTTGTTTTCCCATAATATTGTATTTGTAACTTAGTAAGAAATTTTGGTCAAGGATCAATGGATTATGAAAATTTGGCGAGACAATGGCATACAGATTATAGATATATAGTGTTTAAGATCATGTGAAGTAACAGACAAATTCAGAGGGCTGGCTAGCTAGCAGCACAATGATTCTTAACTAATATTGGAAACCCTAATTTCACGTAGGTCTTGTAATTCGGAGCGTTTACAAGATCCTCTTTTCTGCCAATATTGCTTGTAAACCCCTATTTTCATATGTTATAAGCAAGCCTAGCTAGAAGGACATGCATCAAGAAATTATAAACAAACTCAGAAGCCAACTTGATTAGTTTAAAACCCAAAATACTTCAGGCAGTGCATAATTAAAGTAATTAAACAAAAAAAACGCAGTGTTTAAGCACCACTCATTGTATTAATTAAATTTATAATTAGATCGCCACCATATACCATATAAAAATAGAGCAGCAGTCGTGTACCTTTTATGAAAACAAGCAGTAGGTTGGATAATCCAAGACATTTTTACTACAAGACTACCATATAATTAATTAGTAGCAGTATCAACCAACAAGTATCAGTGAAAACAAACAATATTGATGACGAGCAGGTAATTAAGCACCCAAGTTTAAACTAATCATTTTGCTTAAATTAAACCTGCAACTTTAAATGATACTTTATTATTACAAGTACGTAAGCACATGTACCTGTCAACTGTGAGTCAGTCTTACTCAAAATGCACCACCCAGAATTAAGTAAATGAATACATACATTGCACCAGAGATGGCAAATCTTGTGTAAAGCATTAAACAAATATTATTTGATGGAGTAATTAACTTGTCTGCGAAATGAGATTAGTTTAATTGCATAAGTAGAAAGTGGAGCTGAAAAAGAAGAAATTCTTAAGAGGGTGTGATCAGCTCATGATGGGCTTATCCTGTATTAACCAATCTCTTGAGATCTAATGACCTCATGATATAGAAACAGTAGGATTTGGCTGTGGGATAGGGACTATGATTCTCTCCCCTCCTCTTTCCATCCTCTTCCATTCCTTCTTCTTACACTCTTTATTTTGTCTTTCTCTTCTATAAAAACTTAATATAAGATATTGACGTGACTTAACTGTGACCGTTCAAATAAAAGGGAAGGGAAGTGAAGGAAAAAAGAAGGGAGAGAATCCTTCTCCGTGAGAGAGGAGGCATATAATGCGTATGCTCTTGGGATAAGAATGTGACGTGGTACTAATTAAACATTTTGTTCTCACAAAAGATTATTAATTAGATTTATGTAAATAAGAGAAGAATGTTCCCTCTCTTCT